CTTCGTTGACGAATGGTATTTACTTCGCAGATTTAATTGCAAGTAAAGCAGTCGAAAGCATAAATGGTGTAATCAGTGATGACGTTAGCGCTTGGCATAGGCGGTTCGGTCATTTAAATGCACGAGATTTACATAAGCTTTCAAGTATGAATATGGTGAGCGGTTTAAATGTGCAAATACCGAAGTCTATCGAATGTTTCACATGTGCAGTATGTAAAATCCACAGTAAACCCTATGCGCAATATGGCAGCGTTTTGACAAAAGACATTTTGGAGCTCGTGCATACCGATTTGTGTGGGCCGATTGGGACTAGTTCGATCGGCGGAGCGTCTTATTTTATCACTTTTATCGATGATTACACGCGGTATACAACGGTGTATTTCCTAAAGAAAAAATCCGAAGCTTTTGATAAATTTAAACTTTTTGCTGCGACCGCGGAGAAGCAGACAGGCCGCAAAATTAAAACGGTTCGAAGCGACAATGGCAAAGAATTTGTTAATTCTCAGTTTGATAAATATTTTGCTGAGAGAGGCATTCGGCACCAAACGACAGTCGCGTATACCCCACAGCAAAATGGTGTGGCTGAAAGAGCCAATCGGACTCTAGTGGAAATGGCCCGGTGTATGCTGAATGCATCGGGTATGCCACAGGCATTATGGGCAGAAGCCATTTTTACGGCAGCATATGTAAGAAATCGGGCACCTACGAAAGTGCTGGGGGATGTAACACCATATCAAAGATGGCATGGGCGGAAGCCATCCGTATCGCACCTGCGAACATTTGGTTGTGATGCGGTAGTTCTACAAAAGAGCCCAAGGCCTCGCGGCAGTAAATTTTTACCAAAAGGCGTAAAACTCAAGTTCGTCGGGTACCACGATGCAGCGAAAGGGTATAGATTAATTGATATGACTACCAAGCAAATTAGAATCGGTCGCGATGTAATATTTTTTGAGGACTCATTTGAAAAATTTAAACGTTGTGACGAAAGCTGCGAGGAGCCATTTTATATTGATTTCAACGCGAATTCTAACAATAAGTCATGCGATGTAAATGAAATGCTGGCAGTAGACACCGTGGCAGTGAGTGTGCCAGATAATACAAACGACAACTATGCTCAAGATGAAAGCGAAGATTCGAGTGAAGAGGAGGAACAAATGATTACCGGGCGAAAGCGAGGGCGGCCAAGAATTTTGCGAACAGGTGGCGTAGGAAGACCGAGGAAGGTGTATTGCACTAATACTGGCCCTGAAATGTTGAATTCGATAATAGAAAATCCTGATTCGGTGGCTGAGGCTTTGAGTTCAAGCGATGCAAAGCATTGGAAAACGGCAATGCGAGCAGAATATGAATCGTTGTTGCGTAATGGCACCTGGAAGTTGGTGGAAAAGCCTAAGAACAAAAATATAATAGGGTGCAAATGGGTTTTTGCACTGAAGCGTACGTCCGATGGTTCTATAGAGAAATACAAAGCGAGGTTAGTTGCATTAGGGTGCTCACAAAAGTATAATGTAGATTATCGTGAGACTTTTGCACCGGTAGTTCGTCACTCGACAATACGTTTAATTTTGGCATTAGCTGCAAAGCATAGATTGTTGGTCAATCATGTTGACATAGTGTCGGCGTACTTGAACGGTGAACTAAGCGACAATGTATACATGCTGCAACCACCTATGTTTGAAGACCCTCAAAATCCCCATAAGGTCTGTAAATTGAAGAAGGCTTTATATGGGTTAAAGCAAGCCGGTCGCGAATGGAATCGCAAAGTAACAGACATTTTATTGAAAATGAAATTTGTAAGATGCAAGTCAGACACAAGTGTTTACATTCGTCGTGATGGCGATAAAATTAGCATTATTGGTCTGTACGTTGATGACATTATGTTGGCGTGCTCGAGCAAAGATGAGATGTTGAATATTATATCAAATTTAAACAAATTTATTGAGACTGTCGATCGCGGCCCAATATCTTTCTATTTGGGTATGGAAATTGAACGCGAAGGTTATAGAGGTGAAATCACTATTCACCAACGGCGGTACACAAATCAGATTATCCGGCAATGGGGCATGGAAAACTGCAAGCCAGCGGCGACTCCATGGGCTCCTGGAACGATCCTACAGAAGTGCGAAAAACCATGTAACGACCTAGAAATAAAGCGCTATCAAAGCTTGATCGGCGCACTTATGTCTTAGCGGTGATCTCGAGGCCAGATATCGCTTATGTGGTGTCCAAATTATCGCAGTTTAACGCACATCCACATAATGAACATATGAACGCGGCTAAACACGTGCTAAGATATTTAGCGAAGAATCCTGATGGTAAACTAAAATTTTCTGCTAATTTTGAAGAATTTCTATGCTTCACAGATTCCGA